GAGGTTTGGACAGCAGAGGGGGCTTTGAGATCTACGAACGCACGGTTGCATTCGGAAGTCCAATCAACCTACCGTTTACACCCATTGAGAGCTTTGAATAAGGGGGCACATCGGTCGGTGGCTTTGGATATCTAATAGCGCCTGGATATCTTCGGCTTCGGCTCCTGCATCCTTCTTTGTCTTCGGCTCCTGCATATCTAATAGCGCCTGGATTTTCTCAGGGTTAGCTTCAATGCCCTGCTGGCTTGCCATGAAGCCCAAGAATTTACCGGAAAAGATGCTGAAGGTGCATTTGCTTGGGTTCAGGCACATGTTGTACTTTTTCAGGGTGCCAAACATGAGAGAGAGATTCCGAAGATGATCGATGGCAGTCCTGCTTTTGACTAGCATGTCATCTACGTAGACTTCCATCGAAGTGCAAATGAGTTCGACAAAGATTTTGTTGACCAGGCATTGATATGTTGCCCCTGCATTCTTCAGGCCGAACGGCACGACGTTAAAGCAATAGAGGCCCCTATCGGTGATGAATGTCGTATGTTCACAATCTACCGGATGCATGAAGATCTGGTTGTAGCCGGAATAGGTGTCCATGAAGCTGAGGAGCTCGTGGCCGGCCGTGGCGTCCACTAATTGGTCGATTCTTGGAAGCAGGAAGCTATCCTTTGGGCACACTTTGTTCATATTTGTATAATCCTGGCACATTCTCCAGGCTCCACTAAGTTTCTTTATCAAAATCGAATTAGCGAGCTTGTGGCAGATGACATCCGAGGAGATGCCAGGCATGTCGTCGTAGGACCAGGCAATGAATTCTTTTCGAATAGTTGGGCTGAGGGAAGTGTCGATCCGAACCGATCGGTCCTGTGAGTCGGAGATGGGTATCATTTCTAGCTACTCAATAGGTTGAGCTTGCGGCGTTTTGCCCTCATCCCGAGGGTCGTCGGGACGCGCTGACCCTTCCTTGCCTTTCAGCATGGTCATCGCGAAAACTGCCAGTGACTCTGGTGCCTTCTCGTGTGGATGACACATAACATACCCATGCGCTCAATTGGTCCGCCCGAATCTGGCCGACCCCAGAGTGCGTTGTGAATTTGAGCAGCAGCATATGCAGTGATAAAATAGCCTTCATTTAGGTGAGAGTGGGTCTGCCAATGATGGCGTTATAAGCTGTCGGACAGTGGACCACCAAGAAGTGAGTGTAGACGAACGTCCTTCTGGGGCTGGTGCCGATGGCGATGGGAAGTTGAATGCTTTGAATTGGCTCCACCACATCGCTCGAGAAGCTTAAAAGGGGGGTGATGTCCTTGTTAAGGCTTTGGCGTTCGATTCTGAGGCCTGTGAAAGTATCGGCAAAAAGTACGTTGACCGAACTTCCAGTGTCGATGAGGATTCGGCCTACGTCAAAATCAGCAATGTCTGCCCGAATGATCATAGGATCGGAATGGGGTAAGATGATGCATTTTTCTTCTTGCTCGAAAAAGGTGATGGGCTCCCACCCAAGTCGCCGAATTTTGCTATTGGGCCCTTCAGTGATACTGAGGACCTGAGAATGCCGAACGGCAAGTACGTAATTTTTGACAGACCGATTGCTAGAATCGGCAATCGGTGTACCGCCGCTAATCATGTTGATCTGCCTATTGCTCGGATGTTCGGGGGCCGGATGTGCATTCAGGTACTCGTCTAGCTTGCCTTCGCTGATTAGTTTTTCAACAATTTTTCAGAGGGCGATGCATGATTCGGTATCATGTCTATTGTACTGGTGGTATCGACAGAACACTCCCGTATCTTTGTCGACTTATCGAGGGAGCTTCTGGTTGCTGGGCTTCGGAATTATCTGATTTTCGGCCATGAGGACATGTTCGTAAGTTTAGTTGAGCGTGGTAAAGACTTCCTCTGGTCGGCCCCTCTTTAGGCTTCGAAAATTGACTCGGCCACTTCGATACTTGTTGCGTTTCTCCCTGTCCTACAGACCCTGAAATCCTTCCCTTCTCTTGTTTCTTGCTGTGTAAGGAGCTGATACAGCAGGTGTTGTTCGGTAGGGAGCTTGATTCGCAGTCTGGTGTGGCGAGAAATGGTCATATGTTGGCATCGGGGCCTGACTTACGTTTTCCGTTAGGCAAGGAGTTGCCGAAGATACTCCCTTGGAGTTTAAGTGCTCCGCCTTAGCGTGAATGGCTGTCTGTTTCATGAGCTCGCCATAGGTGGTCCAATTGCTGCTGTGGACCAGATATCGAAATTGAGATGCTCGGAGGCCACTTTTGAAGGCACCGAAGGCTGCTCGGTCGTTGGTTTCTGGGCACCGAGAGTACTCATGGCTTAATATGGTTGCGTATTCTCAAAGAGGCTCGCTGTCTCCTTGCCGAATGGTGTAAAGGTCGTCGGCGAAGTAAAGGCGATCGGTCTGTATCATAAAATGATTGAGGAAGATTTGCTTTAATTGATCGAAAGAATCTACCGTACCTGGCTCCAGTCAGTAGAACCAATTCAAGGCCGCTTCAGCTAAGGTAGATGGAAATAGGAGGCATTGACCTTCATCGGTGAGCCCTTTGCAACCCAGGGCCGACTGGAATATATGAATGTGTGTCACATGATCTTCCACTCCTGTGTAGAATGACATTCGGAGTGCCTGGACCTCCTTTTCATGTCGGTAGACTCGGATTCGGCTGGTGAACGGTCCTGGCTGTACCTTTTCCCAGGTTGGTGTCCGAATATGGTTCTGTTCTTCCCCAATTCGATTGATTTTCTGAAGGAGGAGGCGAATGGTGGGATCGGCAGGAGGGAGGTCGTCGCAGAAGGACTCTAACGTCTGGGGGCAGTTGGAAGGCGAACGTCATGTCCTTGTGTTTCGCAGCCTGCCTCTCGATCGGAGTTTCTGATGGGACCTCTTTTCTGCCGATCGTTCCCTCTGGTGGATCGGTAGCTTGGGTGCTCTTGTCTGGATGATCCTGATGTTGCTGATCGACATGAGATCGTCGTGCCAGGACAGGTCGGAACGTAATCGGATTCGTCTGTTTCTTCTAAATCGATCGCGTCATACCTTCGGCGAATAGGAGATTTTGGTCCGAGTACGTCCAGGTGCCGATCGTTGAGTTTTGCTTGGATGGGAATTGAGGAAGTCCGCCGTTCCCTACGTCTGTCTCGATAATCGGAGTAAACTCGATATCCCGATGGCATTTTTCTGGAGAAGGCACGAACAACCTTCGGGAGGCTGACGGCTCGCCTGCGGCCGGTTGCTTTCCTCTCTCCTGACCGCTAGGTTTTGGCACGCTTATGAGTGATTGTTCCTACCGAAGCTGCATGGTTTGTTTTAAACCGTCTTGTAGTTAGGTCGAGTGTGATTGTTGTTTATAAAGCTGTTTCTGGGTGTCGTCCAGTTTGGAGGAAAGGATGTTGTTGTGTTCCTGCATTTTCGTCATTTCCCGCTATAGGGCTTCCATCATATCCTCCAGGGTGTTCGACCGACCAGGCGTTTCCACTCGGGGTGTGCCAGGCGGCGCAGCGGGGTTCGCTCTGCTAGTGAGGCCGAGGATAGGGCCATCGGTCGCAAAGGGTGAAGGTGAGTTCATAGTTAAGTGGAAAAAGATATATGGGCTGATTGTCAATCGCGATTCCTATAGACGGCGTCAATCTGTTGGCGCTTAAAACTAACAGACATAAATAAAGCTAACTTACAGTTGACGTGGAAGATTTGGACTCGAGAAGCCTTCGGTTTGTGGTGTCTTCCCACGAGGGGTAATGCCGGATTCTACATAGGGAGAGGAACAGTAGGTGAAGTCTAAGACATCGGTGTGGTGCCGGCCGAAGGTCCTCCGATGCCAAAGTTAGTAACTAAGAGCGATTCGATTTGACAGAGTGAAAGCACAAGTCAAGTAAAACAGTCTTACCTCTTGAACAACTTTTGGTGTGTAGTATTTTTTGGGAATCAACTTATTGTATTCTTGTTGATGAAGCAAAAGATGCATCTAATAGAGAGCAAATGACCATTGTTTTAAGATTTGTTGATAAGGATGGTTTTGTACAAGAACGTTTTTTGGGATTGTTTGGTATTTATTTATATTTTGTACTTCTTTGTGTTATATTTGCTCGTAATGTAGCTTTGTTTGATTTATAAAATTTTATTTACATTTTTGTTTCAAGAGAAAAATGGTTTATAATATATCTCATCTATAAAATAAAATAAAAAATTAACCTACCCCTATAAAAATTTCTGAATCTACTATTGCATCTAACCAATGCTGGACTCGCATAATCAGTTTTTCTTTCTTCTTCTCTTTTTTTTTTTTTTGCTTTTGTATAATCTGTTTCTTTCTTCCTTTTTCATTTTTTTTTCTCTTCTCTTCTTATTTGGCTCATATAATCTGTTGATGGATGACTCTACAGGGGTTACCAAGACCAGTATAGTTGTTTTTGTCCTTTTCTGGGGTTTTATACCCCCCTGTTTCACCAAAAAAAAAAGAGGGGAGGAAACACCCAGAGCCCTTCCAAACCTACCACCACGTGCTCTCATCCCCACCAATGCTTTTAACTCTGTTTTTTTTTTTGAAAGGAATGCTTTTAAGTATTTCGAATTGAGTATGTGACGTAAGGGATGACATTGGATCAACTACTCGTTTTCATAATAAGTTAGTGAGATTATTGTACAGTTTTGAAATACAACTACGAGGTATAATTCGTTTGTATGTTTATATATATAGATGATATGGTTAATGTTTATCAAGTTTTAGGTTATATTATAAAACATTCAGAAGTTATACAATACTCTTGTACCGCATTATAATTATTTGAAGAAATTCTTAACTTTAATACTGATTTTTATATGAGATATATTTTTAATTTCTCATATGTAGAGATACTCGTTTAATTCTCTTTATCGGAAACTTTGGTTATACGCGTTCATTCTTTCCTTAATAAGATATTATTGCTTTTTCGTGATTATTAAAAATAAATAATAAAAAAAAAAAAAGAAGAAGAGTAAACATGCATTGAAGCTTCCTGAAAGCGAGTTCACTGACTTGCTACGAAATATCGAGCCTGTTTTTTTATTATATTTTTTGGGATGCGGTTCCCTTATATTATAGACCTCAGAAACTTGAGTTGCCAAGATATTGACCCAAGGTGGAAAAAATGGCTACAGGTCACCTAGTTCTGAAGCCTACCACTCGTCATCCCAAGCAAACAATCTCTGAGGATATTTCTAGACTGACCATCGACCCCAAAAAGAGTAACAGCAGCTCCCAGTCCTCAGAAACGAGTTCCAATTTTGGCGCTGTTCTCCAGCCCAAGAAGGAGAGAGGTAAGAAGAAAACGAAGGGCAGAAGCAGCAATTTCTTCAGCATTACTGACAATAAAATTGAGGGGATCAGAGCTAAGCGGGTCGGAATTTTCCAGTTTGGTAAGACCCACGTCCATAAAGGCCACCAGAAAGAAATACAAGTCGACTACAGTAGTGGAGAAACCGACTCGGCCTCCAGTGAAGAAGAAGAGTAAGCTGATGACTCGCAGAGGTCTGTAGCTAGCTTAGTCTCCTTTTTAATTATGCAATATTTGATATTTTAAGTAATTTTATTGTGTTATCTTCCACGTTAGCTACTTGACAGAATTTCTAATGGGAGGGACGGTTTTGATGTGCAAAGATAATGTTAAAGCCTATTAATGTCACAAAAAATCATGAAGGACAACTTGTGACAATTTCGTAAAATTCAGGGACTATTTGTGATTATAAAAAAAAAGCCTAAATAAAATAATAATTTTGCTTCAAGTTTCAATTTTTTAAACATAAACAATAATCTAGCCTTTTTCTATTTAAATGTCCTTCAACTAAAGTCATTGCCTTCTTTTTCCAACAAATAATAAATCTTGTTAGTATATACATAATTGTGAAAAGGATTGAAATGAAATTGTTAAAAGAAATTACAAAAACATGAAAATACATAAGTCGAGTTTGGCTTGGGCCCGTAATTGCCTGTTTAGTGGTCCAGTACGAGCCTGGCCTTATCCCATATGTGCGAGGGTTGCAGGCTCGGGCGGACTTGATGACTTTCATAAATGGACGGGCCCAATCCGGCCCATTTGGGGCCGTTGGCGAAATAAGGACAATGACATAGGCTTAATTATAGGGCTATTTTCATGTATTATTGTTCTTGTTGATATTATTTATAGGGAAAAAGTCACTCTTAGTCCATCTACTTTGCTGGTTTTCACTTTAGCCCCTCTAGTTTTTGAAATTGGTACTTAGGTGACGAGGGGTAAATTTAAAAGATATTCAACTAAGAATGCAACAAACTTCACACACTCTAGACCTTAACTAAAAACTCTTATGATTAGTCAACTGTCATATATGAATTATACCAAACAATAACATACACATAGCATACCAAGACGTACCTGCAAGCCTAGAGAATTACTAGTGATAACTTAGGCACTCAGAAGGACCCGTCAATCTAGGCATCCCCTTTGCTAGCAACAACTATGGTGAAAGTGTGTGAAGACAGTATAATCAAACAAATACTAAACAGCAGAAAAAGATGACTAGTCAACCGCAAGAACACAAACCAGATGACTAGTCAACTATAAAGAACACAAACCCAGAAAATTTACAAAGATGAAAACCAGAAGTTGTTCACCCAGAAACCCACAATTGGGAAAAACTGGGGGTCATCAACTGACCAGGCAATTCACTAAGTAGAAAAAGATTCTTACAAAGGAACATAAGCAAGCTCAAGAAAAACCTAGATCTATTTAGGAAAATGAGCTAAAATTGTTAGGTATTTATAGGGAAAAAAATCCAGAATTTTTTGGTATTTTTAAAAACAAATTTCAGAATTTTTTTGAATTTTTTTAGCCAAAAAAAACAAGGATTGTCGGATTTCTGGAAAAAAAAACCGATCGGAGTGTTCGGGTTGCGACACGTGGTGCATGCCTGTTGGATTCTATCAGGGATGACGTCAGCGGTGACGTTGAGTTCTAAAAAATGTCCATTTTTCTTATATATTTATATTATTGATGTAAGATTAAAAAAAAATTTCTATACTTTTATTACGATTCGGCCCCTCCACACATACAATTCTGGCTCCGCCACTGGCTGCGTGTACTTGAACTTATTGAGGTTGGTTTATGGAACCTCTTGTTCCTTCATCATTTATATCTCTATAAACATACGTTAGTTATATTTCATACGCTTGTAAGCCTCTCAAAAAAGAAATGAAACCCACCCATTTGTTGTATTCGTGCCCTGTGCCAATATTGTACGCACTATTGTACAGGGCCAACAGTATACAGCACCACACATTATTGTTCTTCTGAAGTGGGCCCCATGTATTTGTATATGGGCAATTATTTTTAGGATAATGCTAAGTTTATTACATTTTTATATCATATTGTGTACTACATTTTTAATAAAGATAGAGCCCACCTGTACAATGAGGCCCACTCTATTAGAAAAGCGATACACAATGTGTTATAAATATATGATAAGCTTAATATTTTCCTTGTTTTTAGGGAAAAATTGGAGTACTCTGCCTTTGAAGAGAAGAAAGCTGAACAGAATACAGAGGAGGAGCTACTTTCGATCTTTAAAAATTTTAGTCTCCACTTAGCTTTTTTCATTTCTCTAGTGTGCCACACACGCTAAAGATTTACCAACCTTACGTGGCCTTTTAATTACCATGCAATTCAAAATAACTTTGCCCCTACCATACAATGGAGAGATGCGCCAGCACAAAGTCAAGAGTCAAGTGCCGATGGCGACTAATTTTCTGACTGGTGATGACCATCAGCCTCCGCAGAAGAGCACCGAGTCATCACTGCTAAGAGAAAAGACGATGGTACTACTACCTACTATCATAATTGCAGTTTTTTTTTTTTGGGAATACTTCTATAAGAAGCACTTTTGTGATCTAAAATCATTTATACAGTTTTTCTCAAGTATGTCTCAATATAAAGGATTCCGATCCTCTATATTTACATATTATGCATTATCTCATATAGTCATTTTCTCGTTCACTTTTAATTTATTAAATAGTGATTGATATTTCTTTTATCAAAATCCCAAAATTTATCAATATCAATGTATATGTATAACACTAAATAGTGATTGATATTTCGTTTTGATCTCAATATTGATAAAAGAGTAAACAGTACAACACTAAATATAACTAAATTCTTGCACATGATAAAATTTGGAAGTTTATGAGAATAAAAATTTGGTTGTGGAAATTCTCAATTATTATTTCAATATCAATAATGTATTATGTTATATTATTAGTCCTATTATGATATTTTCACCGGATTCAATCCTCTTTCTATAGAAAACGACGAAGCCCGCTGGCGCGCATGATTATGTACAGGAGGTTGACAGAAGAATATGTCAGACTATAGATGACGGAAAAGACCCGCAAGAGCTGGCCCTTGAGCAGGGCCGGATCTTAAGTCAGGCAGGGTAAGCTACCGCCTACCCAAAAATATTTCACTAAATAAAAAATCTATATATAAGCTATGTAATTGATATCCATTCCATGTGTTGATATACACTTTTGCTTATCCAATCCATATAAAACTCACAGCACAAGTCAACTCAAACTTTAAAAAACTGAAAAAAAATTATAACCAGTCAATCCATGTTATGAATGGCCCAGTCAAACTTTAATAAAATAAATAATATAACTTAAGCAGCCAAATAGTGGCTGTGGTGCAATTTCAGACAGAATCGGGAAAGCTTCTTTTCAACGCAAGTCTTGGCTATGCTATGCAATCGTGGACACTGGACAGTCTCTTCTCTTCTCTTCTCATATACAAGAAAACAAGTATTCTTCTTAATCTCTTCTCTTTAATTATCTTCTTTTATTGGATTATTCCTAAAATAAATGTATATATCGATAATGAAAAGATAATTGAAGAATTTAAGATTTCTAAGCCTTGTAGGGTACAATTTTAGATTAAGCTAAAGACCACGTGGTTCGCTTTTTTCATTTATGCTGACCGGGGGCTAAAAAAGGGAACAAAATTACATCAAAACCCAACGATATCCTCAACCACATAAGTTTTCCACACGAGAGTGAATTGTTTTTTGGACTATCAAAATAAGACTAAAACCTCATACCAAAAAGGGGATAAAGAAAGACGAAGACCAAAACCAGCCGACCCAACATCCCATCCCATCCCATCCCATCCCAGAGTGAATTTTTCTCTCTTTGCGCATTATTGAAGAATAAATGTGTGGAGGAGAAACACCGGATATCAACTTGAGATATAAACTTCAGTTGCCAAACTACATTGACCCCCAAAATTAGCCAACACAATAAAACACGGAGATCATTTTGATATTTAAACTTATTTTTTATGTATAGAAAAAATTTAGTAAAATATACAAAAGACCTAATCCTTTTTTGTTTTTTTTTTCTGGTCAACTAATTATACTGACATGGGCCAAAATATATTGCCAACTGATAAGCTACAGGGTACATTATTATGTTTGTTACATGGTGTTGCTATTAATTTTTTGCTACCGCAAATAAGGTATGTGGCCAATTGAACACTAGATTATACTGAAACTGTAATTATAGCTCATACAACAATGAACTCAGGCTCGCAGACCTTTTTGCTTATGTATAAACATGTAATTCTTCCCAAAGACAGAAGGAGAAATTTGGTTTAGTGCTTATTCGGTCATCATGTGATACATCATATCAGAAGAAAAACTGGGTAGAAAAGAGCAGCTAAGTTATTCTGGCCGGATATATATCCTGTATACATACAGAAAAAGACAGTGGTGGGGAGGAATCTTGCCTATTGATTAGGCGAATTCAGTGGTACAGCCAGTGTCAGCTAGTTATCTACAAAGAAAAAGGTGTTCTTGACTCTGATGTGATTGATAATTTTTTGTTTAAGGTCCACATGTTAAGTTTAAAAATTTACCACACATGTAGGGGTGAGAATGTGAAAGTGAAAGATGTCATACATTGAAAAGTTAAAAAACTTAACATTAACTTACAAGGTGCTGGGCTATTCCCTTAATTGCTAATTAATTTTGAGATAAAACCTCAACTTCTTTAATACATGTGATCGATACGCATGCATACATAAAACTATTTTTTGTGGGTGGCTTTTATATATGAGAGGCTTGCAGCTGGTTAGCAGATGTTACCAAGTAAGGGTGGACCTACTTTAGGGCTGGAGTGGGCTCCAGTCCAGTCCAAAGTGACCGCCCGCCAGGTGGGGGGGTGATCAATAGGCCTCTCCTTATTCATTCTATAGGGTTGGGGCCGCAAACTTCAACTATTCCCTGTTGAGGTGAGCACTCAATTGCATGATAAAGAAGCCGAACAAGTTGATGCAGGTCCAACTCTCTGCTATATGATCTTTGCTTGTGGCATCTCTAACTACTCGGTTAGCGTCTTTCACTTAATGAATCATGCGTTTTTCAAAGCATTACTACTCCTGAGTGCAAGTTCGGTGATTCATGCCATGTCTGAGGGGGAGTTGGAAAGATGGCACTGGGACAAAGCTAGAATTCGAGCGAAAAAGGCGTTACATGAGATGAAGATGTCCACAGAAGTTACAAAGAAACAAGTAGAAGAAGGGAGTGTAGGATTGGTATGGGTCACGTGCGGGCTACCCCAGCTCGGCAATTCATTTGGTGACTTCGAGAGTAGGTTTAATTTGTAAGCCAAATTTAGATCAATCAAATTTTGGCCCAAAATTTCTCTCTGTCTCTCTCCGTATTCTCTTTCTTCTTTACTCCTTTCGCCTGTTTTCTTCTTTCTTTTCTCTCTCCTCTCTTTTCTTGTTCTTCTTCTTTCTCTCCGCCATTTTTCTTCTTTCTCTTTCTTTCCTTTTGTCTTTCTCTATTTGTTTTATTAAATCTCTATTTCTCTCTTCTTTTTTCATGTGTTTCTCTGTCTACACATATTGATGGTGGTTTTATGTGGTGAAGATGTTATGTGCTGATGTTGAATAGGCGGTTTGATAATCTTGAGCTTGTGGGTGTTTTGGTGGAGGACCCGACTGTAGTCTGAATCTCATAGGTGTCCAAAAAAAAAAAATTACCCCACCCCTGTGAAAAAATCGTGGGTCTGCCATTGTAACCAAGGTGAAGATATGTCTACAGGCTTCCTAATCCTAAAGCCTAAAATTGGTGATAACAAGAAAGCGTCTGAGGATGCTAAAGTGAACATCGAGCAGGAAAACAACAGCAGCTCGAACCCAGCAACGGGTTCCAAAAGCTGTGCTACTTCTAGTACAAGTACCAAGCCCAAGAATAATACTGAGAGAGGTGAGGCCAAAAGAGGCGTTGCCTTCAACATTTCTGGGAATACAATTGAGGGAAGCAATTCAGGTAGGGTAGGAATTTTCGAGTTTGGCAACAAAAACGTTTATAAAGGCCGCAAGAAAGAAAAACAAGTCGACTCAAGAAGTGGAGAAACCGACTCGGCCTCCGGTGGTGAAAACGAAGAGTGAACTCAGGTGATCTGTAGTCTGCGGGCCTCTTTATTTTATGTATGCACCATTTCTTTTGTAATTTGATAATCAAGATCGAATATTATCCCTTGTCCAAACCCTTTAGTTTTGAGTTGGTTTGCTTTGCGAGATTCCTTTGTGTAGTTCTACTATCTACCCATTATGTGCAGCAATCAGTGATCCATGATGATTGATGACTATCATAGACAGGCAATAAGGTCCCCATGATTGATGAAATTGTTTCTTCACCGAAGGTGTATTTCCTTCTTGTGGATGAAATGAATGTAAGCTTAATTAAGGGCTTCACACTCAATTCTAGTGAAACACAAACATCATGTGCAGAAATAGAAATCATAAACAAAACTCTGCTAGTAAATTCATACAGGTGTAAAGCAAACTAAACAAAAGAGTTGTAGCAATCTTACAAGATATGAATTAGGGGTGGGCATGATCCGGTTCGGTCGATTCTAATCTCAAATATCTCTCTTTCAAAGAGAGATATTGAGCCTAAAATAATTCAATTTTCTATACAAATTGAAGTTGGATTTAGAAAAATATTAGTTTATAAGATTAAAAACGTAGCATTGGATTTAAATAATTTGTATAAAAAATAAAAAAAATTATGCACAACTGGTCTGATTTGATCTGGTCCAGTTTGGTGCGGTGCGGTGTGAAATCGAAATCAGAATCGCTTGGCACCGACTATTTGATGCCAATTTATTGACTTTTTTAATTAACTAATTTTTTTCATTTTGTCCGATTTGGTGTTCCGATGCCCAATGAACTTCGCGGTGAGCTGTAAAGCTGTCAAAATAACAAAACCAGTCCATGTGCAACCCTTCACTTATATAATGAATATTGGGATGTCTTTGTCAAATACATGATGGATAGAAATCTGAAAAGCATACACCGATTCAGTATAAACGGGAGGGACCACAAAACGCGTGGGTGTCAATATCCGTGGGCCCATAGGTTGGCATCCAGACAACAAAAGTTGACAACGGAGAACCCAAGAGATATAAAGAATTTGGATACTTTTCTCACATCCCTTTCAATTGTATCATGATAATATAATATAATTATAATAACCCTTGGTTAACAAATTTTTTCCCTACTTTAATTTTATCTACTTATATTTTTTTTAATTATAAAATATAATATAAATGAATAAAATTAAAATTGAAGAAATCACCACTCAAATTTTATCTACTTATATATTTTTTTAATTATAAAATATAGTGTAAATGAATAAAATTAAAATTGAAGAAATCACCACTCAAAAAATATGGTAAGTTTAGCATTATCCTAGTAGTGCCCGTGTGCTAATTTGTCAGTAATTGTAAGGTATGCCAAAATGAATGATGCAAAACACCTCCACCACAACCCCTACCCCTTCTCTCTAATGCACCTCCCTCACCAACCTAGGCCCACCCTCTATCCACCTCCCCCCTCCCCGCCCCTTTCTGTCTCTCTGTCTCTCTCCACCCCTCCCAAACAGCCCACCAACCAGCATCAACCCTAACCCATCGAAAAAAGAGAGAGTGAATTTCCAACTCCAGCAAGTATTTGTTTGAATAAATAAATTCAGCCAGTAAACACAAAATTCAGCTAAATTCATTGTCGTTGGCTCAATGTTCTTGAACTCAGTTTGAATAATTAATTTTTCTACTTTTCTTACTAATCCACCTAGCCACCATTTACGATTTTCTAGGGTTTACTTAACAATAAAATCAACATCTTCAGTTTCTCCAAAAACCAGGACCAGTGAGAGTAAAATCTGGAATTTGGAATTTTCCTCTTTACAAGTCTTGCAAGATGAATTTTCTTGGCAACCAAACAGATTATACAATTGAAAAATGATGCAGATTTAGTAAATTGCGCGCGCGAGAGAGAGAGAGAGAGAGAGAAAGAGAGAGAGAGAGAGTGCCGGCCTCTTCGACCTCGCCTAAAAATAAAATAAAAAGAATCAAAACCCAGAATTGAGGAAAAATGAATAAATTGAAGATGAAAAAAAAGTGTCTTTTTGAGTTATGCAAGCATGGTAGTATTCAG